ACCAAGTTTGAACATTCCACCTCAATTACAAGGAGAGTTATGGTGTTCCAAAGTCTCGACCAATCAAATTGCTTATCACTATGCTTCCCTTCAGCAGAAAATGTTCATTATTGAACTTAACCAAGGTTTTGATGTGATAAAACTATACACCAAGTGTCCTCACTCTCACTTAATTAGAACTAACGTTATCGTGTACCAAAGCATCAACCAATCAAATTGCTTAGATCTCTGCTTACCCAAAGCAGAAAATTCTCATCTTCGAACTTCGTCAAGGCATTCACCTAATAAACACCTACGGTACGCCAAGTGTGAACATTCTAGCTCAATTAGAATGGGAGGTATTGTGTTCTAAAGTCTCAACCATGAGGTCCAATCAAACTGCTTATCGCTCTGCTTACCCTGAGCAGAAAATGCTCATTATCGAACTTAGTCAAGGTATTCATGTAATACTATACACCCAGTTTCATCACTCTCACTTAATTAGAACTAAAGTTGTCGCGTCCCAAAGCATCAACCAATCAAATTGCTTATCAATGCTTACCCTAAGCAGAAAATGCTCATCTTCGAACTCAAGGCATTGACCTAATAACACCTACACCAAGTTTGAACATTCTAACTCAGGAGAGTTATTGTGTCCCAAAAAGTGTGACGGACAGACAGGCAGACGGACAGACAGACAGATGGACGAACCCATTTTAATAGTCCCCCGCTTTCTTAGAAACGTCTGACTGACAGGCAGACAGACGAACCCATTTTAAAAGTCACTGCTTTCTTCAAAATGCGGGAGGACAACAAAAGGATAAACAACGAGAGCAAAAAGATAAACAACATTTCTGCTTTCATTCATATGGTACTTTTTAAAATAAAGTGGGTGTGTCACTGCCCCTGGGGGTCGGGACATGGACCAAAATAAATAGTTGCCATTCTTATGGTATTAGGAATAAATATGCCATGTTCCAAGATGATCCATTCAGATTTAGAATTCCAGCAAGTAGACAACTGCAGAAATTGGGCGTGGCTCTGCCCCTGGGGGTTGGACATTGACCAATATAAGTAGGTACAACCCTATGATGGATCATACGGAATTGGATCCAAATTTCTTAATAATTGCAACCTGTAGATTATTTACAGACAAAATATAAACAAAAAGTGGGTGTGGCACCACCCAAGAGTGACGGACAATGTACCAAAATCAATAGCTGCTGTCCTTGGAGTATAAGGAATAAGTATACTAACTTCCAAGATAATCCATTCAGAATTGTGGCCTTCAGACGCTAAACACAAAAAAATGGGCTTGTATCTGCCCCTGGGGTCTGGACATGCACCAAAATCAATAGTTGCCGCCCTTAGGCTATAAGGAATACATATGCCGAGTTTCAAGATGACCCATTCAGAATTGCAGCCACAATACGATAAACACAAAATTTGGGCATGGGCTCTGCCCCTAGGAGTCGGGACATGCACCAAAATCAATAGGGAATACTTATATCAAGTTCCAAGATGATCCATTAAAACTTGTGGCCTGTAGGCAACACACAGATAGCCTACACAAAGCAAGAAAGGTTGTGGCTCAGCCTGTGGGGGTCGGGCATTCACCAAAAACAATAGGATAATCCTTGGGGCATAAGGAATAGGTAAGCAAAGTTTCAAATGGATCTGTAAAGAATTGAGGCCTGTAGGCAACCCACACAAAAATTGGGCGTGGCTATATCCCTGGGGGTCAGGCATGCACTAAAATTAATGGAGGTCATCCTTAGGGTATAAGGAATAAGTATGAAAAGTTTTAAAGACGATCCATTAAGAATTGAGACCTGTAGGCAACATACAGACACAAAGAGAAAATGGGCGTTTTTCTGCCCCTTGGGGTTTGGCATTCATCAAAGATAGGTTGCCAGGCAACAAAACATATGCCCACAGCAGCTAAATCGTCCGAGCAGTCGACAAGGGTTGTCACATATTTATTCTTTTGTAGGTAATTAGGGGAATTTAATAGACAATTTCATACAGATGACATTATAATTTTCATTGTTTGAAGGTTCACAAGGTTCTAAAAACTAAAACAAGGGCCGTTATGTCTGGAAGCAATCTACAGAAATTGTTCAAATTCGACAGACTTTTTTCGTTTTACTAATTCAAATAATGCTTATAAATTTCATACAGATCGGATGATAACTTTTGTTGTTCGAAAGTTCACAAAGTTCAACAAAGTAAATCAAGGGCCATAACTCTAGACATAATTGACGGAAATTGCTGACATTCAATAGGCTTGTTCGTCTTCATTTCACTAATTTAGGTGATAACTGAAACTCAATAGGCTTGTTCGTTTTATTAATTTAATTGATACATATAAATTTCATACAGATCGGATAATAACTTTTGTCGTTAGAGCATTTACAAGGTACAACAAAGTGAAACAAGGGCCATAACTCATGGCGTAATTAACGGAAATTGCTGAAATTCAATAGGTTTCTTCATTTCACTAATTTAAATGATGCATATCAATTTCAAACAGATCGGATGATAACTGTTGTCATTAGAGCGTTCACAACATTCAACAAAGTGAAACAAGGGGCATAACTCTAGATGTAATTAACAGAAATTGCTGAATTCAATAGGCTTCTTTGTTTTACTTATTTAAATGATGCATATAAATTTCATACAGATCGGTTGATAACTTTTGTCGTTAGAGCGTTCACAAGGTGCAAAAAAGTGAAACAAGGGCAATAACTCCAGAAGAAATTAACAGAAATTGCTGAAATTCAATAGGCTTCTTCATTTCACTAATTTAAATGATGCATATCAATTTCATACAGATCGGTTGATAACTTTTGTCATTAGAGCGTTCACAAGATTCAACAAGTGAAACAAGGGCCATAACTCTAGATGTAACTAACGGAAATTGCTGAAATTCAATAGGCTTCTTTGTTTTACTAATTTAAATGATGCATATAAATTTCATACAGATCGGTTGATAACTTTTGTCGTTAGAGCATTCACAAGGTGCAACAAAGTGAAACAAGGGCCATAACTCCAGAAGAAATTAACGGAAGTTATTGAAATTAAATAGGCTTTTTCATCTCACTAATTCAAACAACATATATCAATTTCAAAACAATCGGTTGATAAATGTAGTCTGTAGAGTGTTCACAAGAAATTGTGGACCATGGACCGATGGGGGCGACGGCAATATACGACCACATTTCCATGTGGGCGTATAAAAACAATAGGGCTGATCCTTGGGGTATAAGAATAAGTATTCAAAAATGAACTGTTAAGAAATGCATCCTGTATATGACAAACAACAAAATACAAAATAAAAAGAGTGTGGCTCTGCCCCTGGGGGTCGAGCATGCACCAAAAACAATAGGGATCATCCTTATGGTATAAGGAATAAGTATGTAAAGTTTCAAGACAATTCATAAGGAATTGTGCCCTGTAGGCGACCCACAGACAGGGGTGACGGCATAACAAGTCCACATTATGAATGTGGATGTAGAAAGATAGGTTGCCGGGCAACGAAACATACGCCCACAGCAGCTAAATCGTCCGAGCGTCAACAAGGGTTGTCACATATTTATTCCTTTGTAGGTAATTGGGGGCCTTTACAAGACAGTTCCATACAAGGTTCTACAAACTGAAACAGGGGTCTCAACTCTGGAAGAAATTTGACAGGCTTTTTCGTTTTACTAATTTAAATAATGCATATAAATTTCATACAGATCAGATGATTACCTTTGTCATTCAAATGTTCACAAGGTTCACAACCGCCATATCTCTAGAAATTATTGACGGAAATTGCTGAAATTCAATAGACCTCTGTTTCACAAATTTAAATGAAGCATATAAATTTCACACATATCGGATGATAACTTTCATCAATCGAGCATTAACAAGGTTGAACAAAGTGAACAAGGGTCGTAACTCTAGAAGTAATAAACGGAAATTACTGAAATTCAATAGGATTCTTCTCTTTACTAATTTAAATGACACATGTAAATTTCATACAGATCGGCAGATTACTTTTGATGTTCAATCAAGTGAAACAAGGGCCATAACTCTAGACGTAATAAACGGAAATTACTGAAATTCAATAGGATTCTTCTCTTTACTAATTTAAATGACGCATGTAAACTTCATACAGATCGGCAGATTACTTTTGATGTTCAATAAAGTGAAACAAGGGCCATAACTCTAGACGTAATAAACGGAAATTGCTGAAATTCAATAGGCTTCTTCGTTTCACTAATTTAAATAACGTATTTAAATTTCAGAAAGATCGGATGATAACTTTTGGCATTAGAGTGTTCACAAGGTTCAACAAAGTGAAACAAGGGCCATAACTCTAGAAGTAATGAACGGAAATTGATGAAATTCAAAAGGCTTCTTCGTTTCCCTAATTTAAATATTGTACATAAATTTCACAAAGATTGGATGTTAACTTTTGGCATTAGAGCGTTCAAAAGGTTCAACAAAGCGAAACAAGGGCCATAACTCTAGACGTAATAAACGGAAATTATTGAAATTAAATAGGATTCTTCATCTCACCAATGTAAACAACATATATCAATTTTAAAACAACTGGATGATAACTTTTGGCGTTAAAACATTCACAAGAAATTGTGGACGACGGAGGGACGGGGGCGATGGCAATATGATGTCCACATTTCCATGTGGGTGTATAAAAATGGACAATCGAGACAATTTTTTTTTTATCATACCGACTTTAGTAATGATGATCACGGCTAGGCCTAAAATTCAATCGCTAATATCTTGGTTCAGAGTGGAGAAATTTGACTGAAATTTCAGCATATTTGATTTACATTATCTAGTAACTGCCAGCTCTTAATCTAATCTTCCATAATGCCCCTTTAATAAAATATGGTGAGGTGAACAAAAATTGTTTTTGTTTTTATCTATTTGGGAGGACAACATACCTTGTAATTATTTATCTGCTATACATATTGAAGCATACATGTATGTGTTAATATAAAGAACAAATATCAAGATAAAAATGTATTTTATTTTAATCTGACATGGATATAAATATAACAATGCCATAAATATGCATAGTGAATTTAGTTCTTTGGACAATTATAATGAAAATATAAAAAGATTCTTGATCAGGCACTGAAAACTATCATCTATATTGCTATATAATGATTATGACTATGAAATAATAGAAGCACATGAAGCTCAAAATTGGTCCTCAGTAAATTTATATTATATTAACATCACGTTCCTCAGCATGGAAAATTAGGAAATGAATGGCTCCGATTTCATATCTTTAACAAACAAAAATAACAAAATTGTAAAAAACAAACCAATCTAGTTTGAAAAGCTTAAAGCAAATCGCAGTGTACACTATTCACAGCAAAAATGAGATAATTGTACAATGAGATTTCTTAGGTCAATATAAGAATTTATCTTTTTTTGTCATATATAATGCCTTTATGTGAATCTAGTACATAGAACATGTCATGGAGGAATGGCTTTCCACATAACTTTAACTAAATAGAGAAAATGACTTTCATTAATAAACAGAACGATCATACCTTCTATGAATCACATTCATTGCAATTCCATTGATCCTCTGAATTGATATGAAGTTACCTAATATAACAAGCATTATGCTAGTATCACAAAGATAAGTCTTATTTATCTTTCTAATGTTTACTGATCACAAGTTTTCTGTCTGTTATTTTTTGTGTGTATCAACTGGTGCACATGTTTCTTTTTAATCCACAATGTGTCTGGCTTTACCAAAACTTTGACCAGCTTGTGACGCACCTTTGTTGCTACCCATCTGCAATCCAATGACACCTTGTCCAGCTTTCAATTGTTCCTCCGAAAAGTTACGGACATTAGCTTCAGATTCTTTAGGTCCAAATCCTTTCATTCCTTTACTTTGAGCCTGTAAAAAATACATCAGATTAAACCAATGTCTCCTAGTTATAAAGGACAGTTAAAAACACAATTTTTGGTTTTCTCTTATCAGCAAAACAACCAATTATTGTAATGAAATTGGGATTTATTCTTTTGTAGGTAATGGGAGCATTTACGACCCATTCCAAAAACCATCATGTGATCACAACCTCTTGAAGTAAGTCGCCTTCTACTAATAAATATCATTATTTACAGGTCAAAATTAGTGTAATATAAGAGAGAGAGAGAGAGAGAGAGAGAGAGAGAGGGGGGTGTGTTTAATGCCTAGGGATACAAACTAGGTCATTTCTGGACTAACATTGTGCAATTTTACTTCAATTATTCCTTGCACATTAGGGTCTTTGGCAATGGGAGGAAACAGGAGGACCCAGAGAAAACCCATGAGGTTCGACAGGAGACTCTACTCCTTGTCACGTACAAGTGGGGAATAGAAACAAACTTTTTGATGCACCGCACACATGTTAACCATTTGGAGGAAACAACTCGCGAGCATGAGAGAGGAAAGACAATTGGCAATGTGGCAAGAGGTGTATAGATCAGAGATTTATGAGGGCTGGCTGAAAAGTTCTAAGCCATTCGGTAATAGACCTGTACAGCGTTGATGGTTTCCACTGTTGGCAAAAACCTATCGTTGTTCCTGTTTCATATTTGAGTCGGTATCCTGAGAAAACACAATGGTGAAGTCCTTAAGAAAAGCGACAGTAGCAGCCCAGAGTCAAACAAACACTTAGACGATCATGCCAAAAGAGAGATATGTGGCAGCGGTATTGCTACAGGGGTACACACTTTTGCAAACAATGTTGCAAGGCCTGGATGCCAATCAGAAAGAAATTATCTTCAGCCACCCTAAAATATCGGTTGCCAGGCGTGAACATATGCCCACAGCAGCTAAGTCGTCAGGGCAGTCAACAAGTGATGTCTCATATTTTTTCTTTTGTCAGTAATGAGAACATTTATAATGCATGAAAATCTGATTACGAGTAATAACACATGAAGTAATTATCAGAAATCATTAGAATTTTTTTTCGATTATCTCATGACCATAAACAATTCATATTACCTTCAGCCTCAAGAGCGACTACAAGATTCTTCAAAGTGATCAAGGGCCTTAACTCTGACAGTAATTATCGGAAATCATTGAAAATCAATAGGATACTTTGTCTCATGACCGTAAACATTGTGTATAAATTTAAAGTCAATCGGATATTATCTGTAGCCTCTAGAGCGTCCACAAGATTTTTAAAAGCGATCAAAGGCCATAACTCTGGCAGTAATTATTGTAAATCGTTGAAAATCAATAGGATTCTTCCTTTCATGACCTTAACCAGCGGCTGCCAGGCAGGATACGCCCACATTTTCGAGAGATGGATAGAGAACACACAAGCTAAAAAGAAAGTGATTTTTCCTACAATAAAGGGCCATAATTCAGAAAATTACAATTCGATATGCGCAAATATCGCACGGAACCTAGATCTTTGGGTTATAAACTTACATTTCAAGTTTCAACAAAATCGGATAAAAATTGTGACCTCTATAGGGTCCACAACCTTGATATACCATATTTTTACGCTATTTGAAAATGAAGGGCAGCCATTTTGTCTGTCAGTTTTTGGTCGATTTTCACGAAATTCAAACTCAGCCGTCCTTGATGTACCATATTTTTACGCTATTTGAGAACGAAGGGCGGCCATTTTGTCTGTCAGTTTTGGGCCAATTTTCACGAAATTTAAACTCAGCCGTCCTTAGGATGTAATGGTGATATAATAATACATTTTTTTAAATCGGATAAAAATTATGACCTCTATAGGGTCCACAAGCTAAGAACGTGATTTTTCGTACAATCAGGGGCCATAATTCAGGAAGTTACGTTCCGATATGCGCGAATATCGACAAGAACCAAGATCTTTGGGTTATAAACTTACATTTCAAGTTTCATCAAAATAGGATTATAATTGTGACCTCTATAAGGTCCACAACCTTGATGTACCATATTTTTACGCTATTTGAGAACGAAGGGCGGCCATTTTGTCTGTCAGTTTTGGGCCAATTTTCACGAAATTTAAACTCAGCCGTCCTTAGAATGTAACAGTGATATAATAATACGTTTTTTTAAATCAGATAAAAATTATGACCTCTATAGAGTCCACAAGCTAAAAACGTGATTTTTCGTACAATAAGGGGCCATAATTCAGGAAGTTACGGTCCGATATGCGTGAATATCGAAAGGGACCAAGATCTTTGGGCTATAAACTTACATTTCAAGCTTCAACAAATTTGGATAAAATATGTGACCTCTATAGGGTCCACAACCTTGATATACCATATTTTTACGCTATTTGAAAACGAAGGGTGGCCATTTTGTCTGTCAGTTTTGGGTCGATTTTCACGAAATTTGAACTCAACCATCCTTAGGGTGTAACGATGATATAATAATACGTTTTTTTAAATCAGATAAAAATTATGACCTCTATAGGGCCCTCAAGCTAAAAATGCGATTTTTCGGACAATCAGGGGCCATAATTCAGAAAGTTACAGTCCGATATGCGCGAATATCGAAGGGAACCAAGATCTTCGGGTTATAAACTTACATTTCAAGTTTCAACAAAATCGGATAAAAATTGTGACCTCTACAGTGTTCACAAGCTAAAAACGTGATTTTTCATACAATCAGGGGCCATAATCCATGAAGTTCCAGTCCGATACATGCCAATAACGAAAGGAATCGAGATCTTAGGGTGATAAACCTATATTTCAAGTTTCATTGAAATCGGATAAAAATTGTGACCTGTAGACTGTTCACAAACAATTGTGAACGGACGGACGCGACGATAATATACGGACGAATGGACGGACAGGGGCGACGACAATATACGTCCACATGAAAATGTGGGCGTATAAAAACCCTGTGTATAAATTTAAAATCAATCAGATATTAACTTTAGCCTCTAGGGCATACACAAGCTTTATCAAAGTAATCAAGGGCCATAACTCTGGCAGTAATTATCTGAAACCTTAAACACTGTGTAAATCGAATATTAACTTTAGCCTCTAGAGCGTCCACAAACAATTGTGGATGCTGGACCGACAGACGGGCACAACATTATTATTTCAATGTGGGCGTATAAAAATTGATTACATGGAAACTCACCTTCCTGGCTGTGGAGCTAAGACACACAACTACTTGATGAAGGTTAACTTGTTCATACAAATCAACAGTTTGAAATATTTCCACATCGGGGACACCAAAGTCTCTGCATTTTTGAGCAAAGATACCAATAAGTTCCATTTGTTTAAAGGCAAGACCTGGAGGTGCACCTAATTTCTTTGGATTAATGGCACCAGGAGCTAATACATTAGCTAATCTGAAAAAAAAAATGAGAAGAAATGTTAACAAAATATATGTCAACTGCAGCTAAGTTATAATCCTTGAGTGACATTTAGCAATTGAGCACAATAAAAAAACACAACACAATTTATATGGAAAACAATCACTGGTTTATACACGTACAACATAATGTTTCAATAAAGTGTTCCCTTATCGTTATCAAGCACAAATGCTTTGAATGCAATCAAACACCTGAAACTAGAAGAGAGTTTTTTTTGTCAAGCACCCCCACCTTGTCCAAACTGGGAAACCAGAAGTCAAGATATTCCGACAATTTCGAACACTGTTTTAAAGGAGCTAAACATCTAACTCAGTATTTTTCATAATATTTGAAATTAAAAACACGAATTAGAAATCAATATTGGTCCATTAAGACTATTTCAATCAATAATGATGTTGTTATTTTGCCGTGAATACATGTATATGGGATCCAAATATCTAGTATTTAAGACATATGAATATTTTATAACCATTACACAAGTTGTGTATTCTATGGGTTTGGGTGCACTGCAGATGAAATTAGTAATGACTGATTCACAAACGACAAACTAATAAAAAACAAGTTTACATAAAGAATGGACTAAGCAGGTGTAAATGACTGTCGTTCAATTTGGACTGTTCACATATTTCATTGAACATAGTTGATTAGAAATTACAATATTTTTTGGGAAAATTTGAGTATAAGTCATTTTACATTCATGTTACATTAATTGTGCTTTTTGAGTCTACAATTTAGATCCATTTTCGCCCATTTTAAGATTCCAAAGAATTGAGCCATACGCCCTTTAAATACAATTTCCTAATCACTAATAAATTAATGAAATATTTACCTTCCTAATAAAAGACCATCTTTTAATTGTTCATATAAATTTTTTTGATCTCCAGATGTACATGTTGGGCCATCCATACCATTGTCCTCTAAAATATCCTTAAGCCATACTAAACATTTTTCAGCTGATTCACTATCATATTTATTGGAGATCTAAAATTAAATTAATCATTTATAATGAAAGTCGCTAATTGTCATTTGAGAGATTTTGAACCCCTTGCAAACTACAACTCGTGGGTTTTCTCCGGGTCCTCCGGTTTCCTCCCACTGCTAAAGACCCCTATGCGCAAGCGAATTATGTAAATAAAATTAAACCATATGTTAGTCCCAAAATGACCTAGTTTGTGTCGAGTGGACGTTAAACCCCATTTCTCTCTCTCTCTTGCAAACTACAATATTGTGAATCTCTAAAATGAATATCAGTCCAATAATGGTATTTACAAAGACATAATGAACAGAAAATTTTACAGCATTCTGTATTCTCAGCACACAACATAAATTTACTTTAGTAAAAACGTCCAAAAAACATATATCACTGGATCCATAATAAATGACAAATATTTAATCGGTCATGTTGATTTATTTCTGGATGTTTTGACTAAAAGTAATGGCAGTTTTTACAATATATTTGAACTGTTTTCGTTCAAGCTTCTTTCTTCTATAACACATGTAAAGCATAGGTTGCCAAGCAAAATACATACGCCCACAGTCGTCCTAGCAGTCCACACCTAAGGTAGGGCATCCACAATATTGAATAAAATGTGATCAAAGGCCGTAACTCAGAGGCTACCAGGCAAGTTACACCCACATTTTACAAGAGATGGATAGAGAACAAGCGAAACAAAGATAGGTTGCTAGGCAACGAAACATACACCACAGCAGTTAAATCGTCCGGGCAGTCAACAAGTGTTGTCGCATATTTTTACTTTTTTCGGTAATGAAACATTTATAATACACTAAAATCTGATTAAGAGTAACAACTCATGAAGTAATTATCAGAAAACCATTAGAATTTGTTTGTTTTTTATAAAGTTCTGCCCCATGCTAACGTTTAGTATACAAAACTTTTAATATCATGGATTTAGCTGTTCAAGTCATAAAAATTCATTGAAAATCAATATACTTGTTCGTCTCAAGATCTTAAACTCTGTATATCAATCTGAAGTCAATCGGATGATAACTTTAGCCTCTAGAGCATCACAAGATTATTTGAAGTGATCAAGGGCCATAACTTAGGCAGTAATTATCGGAATTCGTTGAAAATCAAATGACCACAAACATTGTGTATAAATTTAAAGTCAATCGAATATGAACTTTAGCCTCTAGAGCATCCACAAGATTTTTTGAAGTGATCAAGGGCCATAACTCTGGCAGTAATTATCGAAAATCGCTGAAAATGTATAGACTTCTTCGTCTCATGTCCTTAAACACTGTGTATAAAGTTAAAGTCAATCGGATATTAACTTTAGCCTTTAGAGCATCCACAAAATGTTTCAAAGTTATCAAGGGCCATAACTCTGGCAGTAATTATCGTAATTCGCTGAAAATCAATAGACTTCTTTGTCTCATGACCTTAAACACTGTGTTTCAATTTAAAGTCAATCGGATATTAACTTTGGCAGTAATTATCGAAAATCGCTGACAGTCAAAAGGCTTCTTCGTCTCATGACCTTAAATGATGTGTATGAATTTAAAGTCAATCGGATATTAACTTTAGCCTCTAGAGCGTCAACAAGATTTTTTGAAGTGATCAAGGGCCATAACATTGGCAGTAATAATTGTAAATCGCTGCAATTCAGTAGGATTCGTCTCATGACCTTAAACACTGTGTATAGATTTAAAGTCAATCGGATATTAACTTTAGCCTCTAGAGTGTCCACAAGCAATTGTGGACACCGGACTGACGGCGTATAAAAATCAATAGGCTTTCTCGTATCATGAACATAAACATGACGCATAAGTTTCAAGGAGTACATTATTGTGGCCAAAGGGGATTGACTACAATGCACAACATTTCTTCAACGTGGGCTCATAACAAGGTAGTTGATGTGCCTCTTTTTAAAGATACATTATGGGAGATTTTAATAGAGAGTTGGCCATTCTTGCTATAACAGTTCAAAAATAGATGATGAAAGAAGAATATATAGAACATTTCAGTCAAATTACTTTATTCTGAACAAAGTTATCACTATTGTAATTTTTGACTAGAAATAGGAGTCAAATTTCTATTCACTGTCTCCGAGAATGGACGATTGACAGGCGTTAACTCCACCTACATTATCTCGATTATCAAGTAACGTTTTCAATGGCTGTGGTTTGAGACGGGGTTGCAATTCAATTCATATCACATTTATTTTTACTACAAATTAAAAATAAGACTTTTAATATATAGATAAGAAGCGAAAATTTGAAAGGACTGGACCAAATCAATGAGGCATAATTATAGCCGACTTCTTGTTAGCCTGCGTGTACTCTTGTACTTTAACTGGTAGATCTACGTAACTCCCGAACATTGAGTGATCCAATGGAGCTGCAATTCTACTGGGGTGATGTTAGCTGCGATGTTTGTCAATTTCTATAATTTTTCTGTAAACCCAAGTGATGAAAGAGCGTATAATACGGACATCCAAACTCTCATTTTAACCAAAACTAAACATAATATCAAGGCCGTATATATCAAACTTTCAATCAAATTGACTGACATGCGGCATCAAACAACAGCGACCACGCTTCGTACAATCTATCATTTAGCCTCGATCTAAAATTATTTCCAGGAGTATGACGTTAACGTAACGGTTAATCTCCGCTTACGACGCCATTTAAAAATTTAATCAATCAACGAAATCCTGTTTAAATCCAAGCCGAATCCAAGCCATCCGTGGGTCTACAGAGTTGATTTTGTGCTTGTTGTGTAAATAAAGATCTAATTTATAATTTCTATGACATCTGTAGCCCAAATAAAGACTTGCAGATTTAGCTAATCAGATTTAGCTCTTGCATAATGTATGTTTAATCTGATTAAGCCTGGAGATATCTACATTCTACAGGTTGACATTATAAAATAATCAATTTAAATATGTATTAGTGTATTAAAGATGCCGTCCCTTGAGGTATTTCCCTGCATATACAAAGTTTTGAGAGGGATTGGAAGCAAATTTTTGATAGATTAATTAGTTTGAATGTTTTTAGTCCAAATATATCATCAAATCACAGTTTGTATGCAAGAAAGTATCTTTATTTAAATATTCTCCAAAAAATGCAAGTAATTCAAAATAAGTGCACATTTGTAGTCAATAAATATTATTAAACTAACATTAGCAATTGCTTTAGGGGCTTGATGATAATAATGGATTATCTAGTAATTGAGTTATATCATCTAATGATAACCAGAACAGCATGTATACAAATCATCATGCTATTTATGTTATATCTGTCATTGTTTCTCTTTAATCACAATATAATACACTACCACTGATGAAATATATACCACAATATTGTACATTTGTAATGATTTAATAAAAGAACACAACATGAACATAAACCATCATGTTATTCATGTTAGATCTGTCATTGTTTCTCTTTAATCTTATTATAATTAAGACTATCTTAGATAAAACATACATCTCAATACTGTACATTTGTAATGGGGTTACATCATCTAAAAAATTTAACAAGAACACAACATGTTTTATGCTATTTTAGTACATTATTCGATGCACACATCTCCCAGCTTCATTAAAGATACATTATTGGAGATAAGATAAAAAGATGGCAGTTCTCGCTATAATAGTTAAAAACTAGATAGTGTAAAGGTAATTTGCTGAAAATTTCAGTCAAATTGATCCACTATGAGCCGAGAAAGAAGCGGGTGAAATTTTTGCATAGTCTTGGTCATCATTACTAAAATCATTAATATAAACAGCATAGTCTCGATTATCCACTTTTTTTAATTTAATTATCAATGGCCGTTAGCGGCATATAGGAATCTAATCCAGCCAACATCGAAGGCTAGCCTTGACATCGAGAGTTTATTATGGTCTGGATAAGTTAATTAATGTCTAATTGATAATTTAGATAACATTTCAGGCCTAAAGAAAGACTTGTAATAAGCAGATAATGCATGTTTAAGTGCCAGGTTTTCCAGCAACTGGACAGAGCCTCTCGTTTTGTAGCAGTAAACAGCATTATTTGCGTATTATTTAACTTCTACGAGATAAATCTTATAAATTTTAAAGTCATTGAATACTCTAAAATGCATGTTTTAAGTTTCATCAAAATCGGGTCAAAATTGTTACCTCCAGAGGTCCCACAACATCAAGATATCACATACTTTAAAATTATTTGCATATCGGAGCGACCATTTTGTCCAGCAGTTTAGGTCTAATTGTCACGAAATCTGAACTCAACCATCATTATAGTGTAATGGTGATATATTCGAACGTTTTTTTAAATCGGATAAAAATTCTGAACTCAGAGGGACTACAAGCTAAAAATGCAATTTTTCATACAATCAGGGACCATAATCTAGGAAGTTACGGTCCAATATACGAGAATATCTAATATCTAAATGAACTGAGACCTTTGGGTTGTAAACCTTCCCCCAAGCCAAAATATGAATTCAAATTTCGACAGCCCTAATAAACAAATAAGAGTATTTGTAACAAAACTAGAACAATTATATGGCAGTATTCTACTCTTGTACATGTACTGTAGTAATTGAGTTAAATGATTACAAGACTATAATATGTTCCAGATCATTACATTTGCATTTATCTTCTGAATATTCCCATGCCCCACCTTTATCTCAATTATATTTACCACCAAATAGAATATACAGGATAAATGTACACTCTTATTTAGGTCAATAATCAAGGAATGCTATTATTCACCAATATCTTTCAGTATCAAGTCAGTATTAAAAAAACCTGTATAGGTTACACATTATTGTTCTTATCACTTTAAATTCATTATCATAAGAATGACATATCACAATTCCCTCTCTTATTAATTACATACACAGAATGTATGGACACCATGTGGCCAACAAGATGGATGATTCACTACTTTTATGGTCAAAGGCTGGGTTGAATAGTTCACCCAAGTTCACTGACATTTTCAATAATAAGGATCATTTTAACCTGAATTTATTCTGTTACTAAAAACATATTAACAAACCATTTACTAGAATTTTTTCAGATTTTGTTTGTTGTCACAGTTTTCTTAAAGATGCATGAATGATGAAGAGCTATAAATCTATCTTTTGGATTGAGATTTATTATGTAGACATTTATTCAAATGACAGGCCTATAATCAACTCTCTAGATCATCAGTTCCCCGTGATTTAAAACGTATTTAATGGACAATCAAGGCTAAGTCTTGGTTGTTAAGTACCGTTGCTATAATAATGAACGATTAGCTCAGGATAAAGTAATTTTAATGAAATTTTCAATATATTCTTTTTGGATTCTCTTTTGAGCTATTACAGAAAGAAAGTCCAGCCCTTTATTTAAATCTTACATAATGCATCTTTAACGCCAAAATTCAAATGCATGTACTCATAATTATACCAGTATTATACATGTCTCAATGTTTAAAGGGGGCATTAGCAATTTAGACATCCAATAGTCGATATATACAAATAAGTGGGTCACTGCTTGGATGTTAGATATAGATAATTCGGTAAATTTAATTTTTTGTTGAGTGTAATTCCTCTTTGATTTATGGAAGTTTAATTTGGACAAGATAAACTCTTTTCTTATAAATATCTGGAAACATAGTTTTCTTTGCATTAGGTCTCTACATGCGAACATTTAAAAAGACTGTTGGGTTGTGATAACACTGTGAATTTCATGCCGTATCATTGCCAAGAATAATACAATCTGCATACTTGGGAGTATTTTGTTCTGGGATGACAAAATTCTATACACTCCTTAACAAATACATTTGTATGAACTCAACATTCCAACAAAATCGATTTTATATAACAAGCTGGAATAGAATAAGAAAACATTGTGCCCCGTTACTTAAGAAAATGTAACAGAATAATAATAATGGGGGGGGGGGGGGCGGGTATATAAGATACTATATTACTGCTATATTATTATAGCAAATTATCTCGAATATTTCACAAAAAAGACCGCCATACATGTTGCAATTACCCGGTCCCCGTATGAATGAATGACACGGATATATCACGCAGCATTCCTCAGTTGAGGATAAAGTTACCAGTACATATTTGCCACAAATATTATGCAAATCAAGTTACTGATCAATATGTACAACATAATTTCAACAGTGTGGTAAATAAGTGTATGTCATACCTTATTTTGGCTCTCAAGAGCAAGTCCGGATTTCGTAGCTCTGCTATTTGCCATTTCTATTTGGAATCTTGAACTGCTAAGCTAACTTCAAAAACGTCCACTAAACACTTTATAGCAACCCTGACAGACGACAATTTTTAGGCGCGCCGACTTTAGTCAAAATGATGATTCACCGGACACGTGACGATTTCCTATAGTTTGATTGGTTTTTGAATGGGCGGAGTTTGGATAAAGTTGACAGGAAAGCAAACGGTTTTCCGGCTATATTTATTGAAACCCTACACACTAAGTGAACATGCTTCGAGAAAGCGCGAATGATTCTTTATTGGTCCTCCCACTACTATGCATTAAGTTAATACATACTCTACTATTGTCCTTTAAAGGAAATAATCATGAATAATAGTAATTTATTAAGATCGAACATCTTGAGAATTACAAGAACGCCTAAGTTTGAAGGAAATGGAATGATATTGAATTTAATGGCACGTCAGCACCAACCAGCATATATTGCACCAAAGTGTTCTGATCTTACGCGACACAAATAAGAGAGAGAGAGAGAGAGAGATGGGGTTTAACGTCCACTCGACACAAACTATGTCACTTCGGGACTAACACATGATTCAATTTTATTTCAATTTAATTTATTAAACATACATTATGCAAGAGCTAAATCTGTCTATTTCAGGTCTTTCTTTAGGCTTGAAATGTTATCTAAATTATTAATTAGACATTAATTAACCTATCCAGGCCATAATCAACTGTAGATGGAAGCGCTAGCCTGCGATCTTTAGTGGGTTGTAAGCCGATTTAATGCATAACTTTCCTTCTCGATTAAACGATAATGGATAATCGAGACTATGCTGTTTATCGTACTGCCTTTAGTAATGATGACCGAGTCTTATGGGAATTTCAGTCGCTTAGTTCTCGGTTCATAGTGGATCAATTTGAATGAAATTTTCACCAAATTGCCTTTACATTATCTAGTTTTTATCTATTATAGTGAGAACTGCCAACTCGTTACCGAATCCCCCATAATGTATCTTTAAATAAATGTTAACAAATTAACTGGGGAGCGAAAACTAACAACGTAAAAATATTTCCAGGAATATAAAATATTCAATATTTTGATCTCTCGAAGGCAAGTGGTCATTGTCTGCATGCGATATCATCCTTGGTGGAAGCGTATGTTAAGTCCTAAAAACGAACGATCGCGGGCGGTCACTTTTGGCGGGAAAACTGTACGTAAAACTATAACGTGGGACCCAAGGCAGAGTTGCTAATATATATATGAATTAAACGGATACACCCATGACACGAATGTGTTTAAAGTGTAGAAACAGGCAGATTCCAGAAAACTTGAAATGAAGTCAATTATAACAAACATCAGATATTATGTCAAGAGTTTTTTCCTTTAACTATAGGCCTATATTAAAGAAAAGTTATTATAGCTGCAAAATTACTCTGATTAAAGTTTTACTTTTCGAAGGTAGAAGAGGATTTTCCTAATAGTTGCTGGAATGGCGGAAACTTTTATCAGTAAAGCCAATACTGATGACATTTCCTTCTGACATTTGTTGAATTTAAACCTGTCGTTACCGAATGAACATATAGAATTAACAGTGGATATTTACTAACTTCGACCTTAGCGAAAAAAACTATAACCTTAAATAAAGATACAAGCTATGTACTGAAATAAAACGGGGTTTAACGTCCTACTGCTCTGCACTAACCGGGTAAATGAAGACGGGCATACGCCATGCAGTGTGGGGGAAGACTTTGCACCGAATTCCAAGTGTTTTGGGTTTGGTTTTTTTTACATATAACACGTCAACCGCGGGAACACGGGACCACGGTTTGACGTACTATCCGAAACGCTGTTCCTTACCATGCTCTCTTCTCTGCACCAAGCATCGTAATAGTTTTCTATAAAACGAGGACTGCCCAGGTAAAAAGAGTAACCAACTGGGGAACTAAACATTGTTGTTTTAATTAATGTACATTGCAAATACGTCTTTCAATATATGCAGTGAGAAATATGAATTTCGTTTGGACGGGCAGAAGGACGTATTGTTTAAAGAGAATAAATCGTATTTTAAAATTGCATTATACAATCAACCAGTAACCATATAGATATAATTTTATACAATAGCTGTATAAAATGCAAAAGAAGTGTTATGTCACGTAGAGGGGCATGCTATAATAAAAATCTATTATGTTGGCCACAATATATTATATGTAGCTTAAAATGTTAATCAAATCGCTTTATATGTATGTATTAACTGAAAAGACTTACAAATTGTAAGAAGAACCCGTGTTCATTCTTTAACAATGATATAGAGCCGGACAAAGCATTCTAATAAGAATAATATATATGTAGATCTATGAAGTAAGATATTCTCACATGGAAATACGTCATTCATAAATTCTTAGCTTGGGCCGTGTCTGCTTAAATAGCGCTTTGAAATTTCCCATATTATGTCCTTGTTACTAAATAGTCAAACTGTATCACGTTCTTCGTGGATGTATATATTGATGGACGAGGGATGGAACAAGGAGATTTTCTTTGTTAGCTCTTGTTACTTATCTTTTACAAAGACATGTAATGATGTCACCTTGGTCAGTCAGCGCTTTATAATAATATATGAAAAAGGCCAAAAATAAAAACGTTGTATATAGGTTTTACGCTTTAACTTTCACATTTTTTTTTTAGTTTTAGGATTTTCTGGGGTTTTTTACAAGGACATTTAGCTTGAATGCATATCATCTAAATTGTAAAATCTATTATGCACCAGATGTCATGTATTATAAACTATAGAGTTTAAAAATATGGTCTAATTATATATTTCATTATTTGCTGTGGGGAGGTGGTTGTAAACGAATTTCCCATGCTCGTTTGTTTTATTTGACAGTAAGCTAAAATAAGCCAAGGGTTTTAGTTTTAGCAGAAATAGGTGGTTGACATATATACAGGTCAACATGACGAGATGGATTGTTTGAACAATTACTCCCCTATCCCTCTACTCATTCGGCATAATAGTCTATGTAATGACGTCATTGTCGACAAGCTTCTTAATCTCATTTGACGGGGATGTTCCGATACCATATATGGCAAAGAATACGATGTTAGCTATAACAGTTAGAATGCACGTCGAGGTGATTAGCACACGTTTGTTTTGTCGTATTTTCTAGAATGGCATGATACATAAAATCCACGAAGGTTAACTTCTCACAAAAGCTGTAGTTATAGCAAAATAAGACGTAGATCTAATTTCTACCCATCCAGCTTTTGGTTATATGGTTTAAATAATATTTTATTTTGGAGACGATGAGAATAAACAACACTGATATAATGGATTTGGAAACATGCCAAAGCTTATATAAATCATATGATACAAGTATCAGTCTTTGGTTTATCTTGATTTGATACATTTGGATAATGGAAACATTTGCCAAGGCTGTGTGACAATATTCATACATTTACTCAAATTTAAGTGTACTGGGAATGTATTGGGTGCAACTATATAAAGAGGACATTATTCGTCGGAAGTGACATTAATGTCATCTTTTGTTTTAAATGGATATCAAAGTGGTCAAGCCGGTTATACACTCTACATATAGATATAAGTCGATGGTAACATCACGCGGAAAATGTACAGTAAATCTGCAATACATGTACTTGTCTTTTGGCTGACGGATTTTCAGCACAACCTGTAATGAATGTGTGCCGGGGCGCAGGAACGTCTTAGGGGGTAAAATGGCTGGGATCGGAAGCCTCCCGTCGTGGTTGAGGAGGTCGGAGAGGGATGGGGGACCCCGTCGTGGCTGAGGAGGTCCTGGAGCCCTTTACCGAGAAAATCATTGAAATTCTGTTGCAGAAATAATGCAATCATGGTGTCTTTTGACTCTTTTGACCGGTTACCATAATTCATCAGATTAGACGCAGATACCTATTTCTTTTCGTCAAAATAGGATTAACATTTTAGAGTTATGCCCCTTTTTTGCCGATAACTTTCACACTGCTAACGTCCTACTGTTCTGCTTCGAACTGGGCTAATGAAGACGGGCATACGCCATACAGTGTGCTATGAGGGAAATTTTGCCCGGACAGCGGCACTACGGCCTACTCTTATATCGAATTCCAACTGTCAAGGGATCTTTTACGTGTACGCCAATGTGTACACGGGACCTCGGTTTTTCGTCCCATCCGAACGACTAGACAACTGTCCTTGTCAGGCCCTCCGTCCTGCATCACTGACAAGGGGGGTTAGCACGATAGAGGCCAGAGTTTCTGAAACTTTCATGAAGCTTATATAAGCATTATGACAAGGCGAGAATTCCTATTTCTTTTCAGCAAAATCGGAAGATTCGGAAGGACCCAACCGCGAGGCATGAAGCTAACTTACGCAAGGTACTGACCAAACTGAAAGATGACAACCACCTTGATAACAGTTTATATTACAAACTTAAACCATCACACTCAGTGCCACCATATGCTAGAGCGACCATCAAGATCCACAAAGACCCAGTCAAGGCCCGACTTCTTATTTGCTCCAGGGACTCAGTTTACTACAATACCTCCCAATACCTCTCCAAGCTCCTGTCACCTTTAGGGAAACAGCCGAATCATTTATACAAGACTCTGGTGAATTCTGTAAGAAAATAGAAAAGGTAAACTCCGACTATAAGATCATCTCCTATGATGTAGTGGACCTCTTCAATAATGTGCCCCGTGATCATACCTTACAACTTTTTAGAGACAGGATAAACGATCTTGATACCCCACTAAACACAACTCTCAGTACCGACAGTATTATAGAACTCATAAAAGTATGTATTTCCTCCACCTATTTTAGATGGGGTGACGAGTTCTATGAGCAGATCCATTGCTACCCATGGGTAACTCCCTCTCACCTTTGGTATCTGAAGTATTCATGGCGTCCCTCGAACAAGAATCGCTAGAGACATCAGCCATCAAACCTGTCGTCTGGTATCGGAAGGTGGACGACATCTTTGTTGTGCTCAAGAAAGATGATGACCCCAACTGCCTCCTGCAACATCTCAACAGAAAAACACACAGAATTAACTTCATCATGGAATCTGAAGAAGATGGCACTATTCAATTTTTGGACGTATTAGTTACCAAAGATGGAGACAACCTTAA